CCGCTGTTCTCCACAGCGCTAATTGATATTCTCACCAATAGAGAGCAACTTTTGTTCTAGATCCTTGCAACTCTTATCTTTTCGTCTTTTTGATGGCAGGCAATCTAAATGGAATGGCTAGATCACTATGGTTTTGATTTGCATTTCTGTTAACTAATGTCCACTTTTTCTCGTAGCCAGTGGCCATTTGTATGTCTGTCTTTGAAAAAGGAGCAATTTTTGGAATGCTCATATACTGTAAGAAATCTCTCCTGCATTTTGCTTCGGAATAGGAATGAAGCTTTATATGCTCTCCCAGCTGCGGGCCAGAGCGCTCTGGCAGAAACGACACCTCCTTCAGTTCGTATTTCGCAGCCCTCCGGCGCTCTTGTCTCCCCAACTTGACGGCCAGCATTGGAAAAGTGGCACCTTCTGTTTGACACGAGAACAGCACCTTTGCTTTTACATCCAGTTGTTCAAAAGAGCAGGTTACTACAAGAGGATGTTAAAGCTGGAATCTAAACTCATAGCATTTTCATTGCACTGAGCGATAAGCTTAACCTAGGTCATCGGAGACTGTCTCAGAGCAAGCAAGCGCGAGGGGATCAGGTGGTATTTTGGACAACTACAGAAGCTTTCTGCTCTCCCCTTAGGAGTAACAAACAGGGATTCTGCTTACTGACCAGCTACTAGAGAGAAACCAGTGAGCAGCTCCACCAGGGCCTGGGCGTCCCCGGCTTCATTCACCCCTAAGCTTTCTGGTGGTGGGAGCAGGCATTCCCATGTCCTGGGTAAGCAAACAGCCCTGTTGTTCATCCCAAAATGAAAATCCTGGAGCTTGTGATGGCCCAAGGTCATGCCAGCGACTCTGCTGTCACATAGTGGAGTCTCTCCCGTTTCCTCTGCAGCAGAACCTGGATGTGAAGCTGAATTCCAGGAAGGACTGTGTGCCAGGGATCATCACAATTATGGAAAACGGATAATTCAAGGGGAAGAAAAGGCTACGCATGGATTTCAAAAGATTTGTGTATTGAAATGAACTTATCTTTTATTTTGCCATAAACTTTTTGACATACTCTTGCATATTCTAACATCAGCCAGCTCTACCACCTGTTCAAGTCTTCTGCCAAGGCTGGGGGTTGGACTCAGGGGGAGTACCACTCAGTCCACATTTCACCCCTGCAGCATCACTGTTGGACAAAGTGACTGGTAACCCCCATGCCTGGAGGAGCCCAGGGCAAAGCCCTGCACATCCTGATGCCTACCCCTCTTCCGTGTGTGAGCCTGTGGTGTGTGTGGTCAGAGCAACCAAGTGAGACCAGGGCCCGGGAGCATGACGAGCAGGTGGGAACAAAGCTGTTATGGTACAGTCCCCCCATCACTCACAAGGTTTGCCTTGGGGCCTGTGCAGCCAATTGTGTTCATGTGTTACCATCTAAATACGTAGAATATCTCTGGCCCCTCTTTCTACTTGCTATCAAGAGCAACCGAAGCTTATTCCTAGAAAGAACTCATTTTTTTTTTGTTTAGTTGCAGTAAAGCAACCATAAATTTATCATGCTAGTTGTCTGCATACTTGCTTCTAGAATGGTAGACGGCCTTTTTGATTACTATTTGTGTCCACTGACATTCATTTTTGGCTTATTTTTATTTGCAATTCTTCCTGCTCATTTTAGTTTATAAAGACTCATTTTTATTTATTTGAATGGCAGACTAACAGAGGGGTTGGGAGCCAGCAAGGGACAGAGAGATCCTCCATCCAGTGGTTTATTCTTCAAATGGCCACAAGGCCAGGCTGGTCCAGGTCAAAGCCAGAAGTCACGCACTCCACCGGGGTCTCCCATGTGTGTGCTCCCCGGCACATCAGCAGGGAGCAGGACTGAACGTGCAGCTGCCAGGAAGCAGGGCTCCACCCAGGCCCAAGTACAGGGTGCCAGGACCACAGGCCTGGCAGTGGTGTGGCTTAACCTGCTGCACCATGTCAGCCCCTTGTTCACTTTTTAAAGTTTTTTTTTTAAATTTTTACACAAAGGTATTGTTAAGAAGAGAGAAGGAAAAACAGAGAGGGATCTTCCATGAGCTGGGTTTATTCCCTAAACAGCTGCAATGGCCAAAGCTGGACTGATCTGAAGCCAGGAGCTTCTTCCAGGTCTCCCACATGAGTATAGGCACCCAAGGCTTTGAACTATCCTGGCCTGCTTTCCCAGGACACAAGCGGGGAGCTGGATGGGAAGTGGCGTAGCCAGAAACAGCACCTGCACCCATATGGGATGCCAGCACCATAGGAAGAAGATTAGCTGGTTACACTACCATGCCAGCCTCAGGTCCCTCAATTTTTAAACTTAGTTTGAAGACATCTTTTTTTTTCTGGACATCTCAGAAAAAGAACTCTAGCAAAATATCAAGTAGTACTTCTCACGAGGTTTACAGCTTCCTTTTAACAGCCTGCAGGGCCAAAGTCCTTGAGTTCACATAGTGCTTCTGAGCAGACACATCTCCATGTGACACCTGGAGAAGGTGCTACCCAGATGCAAATTTCGGTGTGTTCTCCCAAAACACAGAATGGGATGGGTAACGAGGGCCAGCACAAAGCCACATTCAGGTGATGTAGTGTGAGTCCCTATTCAGCCACAGAATTTGCAAGCAGTCGGAGGCAAAACCACCCCATGTCGGTCATTATTTTGGCTATGAACGTATTTATGAAACCTGCCACTAGGTTTTTATTCCTCTTTTCATAGCATTTAGTAGCTCAGAATTAATTTTAAAAACAGTTTCCGAATAGTGAGAAATTCAACTTCAAAGGGGGGGGGGGGTCTCTAAAGAAAACAAAGGCTTCTCATCTGGTTAACTCCCAATTTAATTCAACATTTTCCATATATTTGCCATAATTTATCTCAAGGTTTAAAGCTGGTTTAGTGTGTACACATCATGAGGATTAATCACCTGTAGAACATGCAAATTGCAGCGAGACCTTTTGTCCCATTACCCACCCATTCCACTGGGTTTCCGATTTCAGAGGGTTGGGATTAAATCAGTGTATTCTTCCCACTGCATAATTTAGACCAGCTTTGAAGGGCTGTAATTACAAACCTCAGTAGCAGATTGGGAATCGCATTCACCTAAGGCCTATGGCACGGCTTCTTCCAGAAGAGCAGTCGAGATGTCATGCTCATCGGTTCCACGGCTGTAGGTCTGCTCCCAATTACCCCCAACCCCAGTAGACTGGGAGATCCCAACCCAGACACGGAAGCTGGGAACCTGCCAGCGTCTTGTGCATCTGAAGGAACTTCCGAGAGAAGGCGGCCATTAACAAAAAAATCATGAAACTGTCATTTTAATCATGTTGGACTCTACAAGTCCGGTCCTGATGTGCTGGCCTTCAGAGCACGTCCCCACTCCCATCCTGGTGACATTCTGCAGAGAGGAACGAATGAACCCCGTGAAGGGTGTCTGATGCCTTCCTGAGCACCTGGCAAACTTCCTTCCTACTCTAAGTTCCCCTTTGTTGGAATTTAGAAGGCAAGCCCATCCCAAGTTCATGGAACCCCTTCGTCCTCCTGCAGGAAAGCCCATTCTGGTGAGCCTTCACTCACATACCGAGTCTTTCCATGCTCAAGCAAGCACTCTTCCCGTAAGGGTCTGCAATACGTGAAACAATGGTTTGCTCTACCATCCTGCTGGCACCCAAGCAGAGGCACTAACTTCAGCCATCTCTATCAATTGCCTTTAAATTTGTATAAACAATCAGCATATTTTGCTATTTTCTAAACTTCTAATTCGAGAGAGACAAAGCCCATTTTCTCTTTCTCCCAGGGGTGAGGAACCTTTTTATCTGTTAGGGATTCATTTGGAGTTTTAGAACACCACTCACAGGCCACATAAAATCGTCAAGCGAGAAACTTGCCTGCCTGCGCGGTTGTCTTAGAGCCAGACGGAATGATCCCACGGGCCTTCGATGGGCTATGGATGGCCCGCTGCTCACCCGTTACAGATGGGGAGGCTCCAAACTCCAGACAACATTCACCTTGGGGCGCGTGCTTCCCTGCCCTGCGCAGCTCTATGTTTAGAAACGCATGGAGTGGTGGGGAGCAGCCCCCCTTCCTCGGACCACCATGGCTCTCTGGTCACCTGCTGAAGGCAGAGGCTGCTCCCCTCCTTGTTCTGCTTCCTCGGGCGGATGAGGCTCTAATGATTCTGAAACCAGATAACAGCATCCTCCTTAGCCTCAAGATGTGAGTGAAAATGGTGAGTTTTGCCCCAGTCACTGAGTTCACTCTGTATTTTTCAGGTTGTTAAAGGATCTCCCACAGGCATGATGGTTTACCCTCCTCTATCTAGGAAAACTGCTTAAATACAAGGAGAACTTAGGGATAACGAATTGAGACATGTGGGTGGGTTATGTGGCTGGCGAGGCTCCCTAGTGGAAGCTGTTTCCCCTTGTGGCAAATGATGGACTGTCACCCAGACCTGACATGTATGCATTAGGCTGAGTGTCCGTCTTGGAATGGAAGAAACCACACAAGTCACCTCAAGTCTTCCAGTGCACTCGTTTTTAATCGTCCCCACTCAGGTAGGTGGTATAGTTGTGCAGTTTCAGGTTCAAAGCCATCAGGCCTGTTGCCAGCCGCCCTGTGCGGGAACGAGGCTGCTCCCAGAGCCTAGGAGCTCACCTTCTTCATTTGCCAAGTTCAAGTTCCGCTGTCGTCACCTTCTCCCTCCAACCGATGGCACACTTGGGGCAAGACCCCTCCAAGTAGCTTTGAGGAAAAATGCCAACTTCTTCAACTGCAGGGGTCTCCTCTTACCGCCAATAAATACTTGATGCACCCTTGGGTCATGAAATACTGAGAACTCAATCAGCTGGTTGTGGGTAAGGGGAGGGGAAGATGCTGGCGGTCTTATGAGAATGTTCTGGACTGAATGGGGTAGGTGTGACATCCAGGACCTGGATGGGTCCGGACCTTGGTGAGGGTGAGCGTCACAGAAGGACCGCCTCACCCCCCCCAGAGCTCGGGCGGCGATTACGCGTTCTCCTGGGGGTCCCTGGCCAGGTTCACCTCCTCGGGAGACCCCATCCCGTCTGGGAGCAGCGTGGCGCGCACTTTTCTCTTCTCCTTGAAGCGGCCCGAGCGCGACACCTTCAAGTTTCGCCGGCTGCCGCCACCCGACTTTTCCCCGTCCTTGTCGGACTTGGGGGGCTCACCGGAACCCCCAAGCACGTTGGGGTGCTGGTTCTCTCGCGCGCTGTTAGTCCAGTCCGGGCTTGGCTGGGTGGGCTCACCCGGTGTGGGCTGGGTGGGTGGCTGAGCCCCCACTGCTGCCGCCTTGTTTTTCTTTTTACTGCTGTTGGTCAGCGACTTCCACCAGGAGCTCGAACTGCCCGTACCGCCACCGGTGCCATCGGCCATGGCCGGCGGGCAGAGGGGCCCGGGACGCCCCGACGGGGGAAGGGCCTCGGCAGGGGCGGCCCTGCTCTCTCCGTGGTCTCTAGCGGTTCACGCCACCCCTTCTCGCGTCTGTCCCACGCGGGATGCCGAGTAGAGGTTAGGGCAGCGCTCCAGCTAGGGCAGAAAACAGAGCTGGGTTACCGGGTTGATGGAAGTCACCTGCGCCCCATCCTGCGCTGTCCTGGGAGATTCAAGCAACCCCCCTAATCCCAAACCAAGCAGCTGGCTGCGGAGGAGTGGACTCCAGGGCGCCCTCGCCTGGCCACCAGGCAAAGCCTTGACCTCGCAGCCTCCACGGGGGAGAGTCCCAGCCCTTGGGTTCACTAACTCCTCCGGAGAAGCACTATCTATTCTCCACCGCCTGAACGCGCCCAAGACGGCCTCCCTCCGCTGGAGCCCACGAGGGGCGTGTGTCCCATCAGCGAGGCAAACCACGTGGAGGAGTGCGCACTCGAGATTGCCCACCCCAGGGTCCCCCATCCACCCAAAGAAATGGCGATCCTGGGGGAGAATTTCTATCCCAGTGTGCACATGGCCGCACTCAACGCTTCTTTGAAATTCCGCAGTTACTCACTTCTGCCTTGTGACTTTCAGAGAAGCCCGTCTAGACCCACTTCCCGTGAAAACCGCCACCCTACGCTTCCTTCTCCTCCCGACACCCGGCTGGCGTTTTTGGGAAGCCCGCCCGGCCGACAGTTGAGAAGCGGCCAAAGGACGAATGTCCTCTTTCCTTAATTCAGTCCTAAAATAGGCACCGACTCTGTGCCACCGGCGCTTCCTTTCCTTTCCTTGCGCAGTTCCCTGCAGCAAGGGAAAGCGCGCGACCAAGAACTCAGCAACAGTTTGCTTCTCCCTCAGGTTTCCAATTCTCTCTCTTGGGTGAAAAGGCTAAGGTGAAAAGGCTGCGGGGGTCCTGGGAGCTGGACCCTAAACTGGGCGCCTCCGGGCCGGGACCGCTGGCGCTGCGGCTTCTTTGGCACTCCAGCGACTTGTGAGTGGGCGGGGAAGGGACACCGAGCGGTGTTCGTTGTTGAAGTTCTCCTCCCGGAACTGCAGGCCGGCCGAGGAGCCCAGATCGCTCACCAGCTTCAGGGGCGCCAAGAAACCAGCTCCCCAGCTCCTCCTCAGGATGCCCCGAGGGCGCTGTCGGACTGGGGTTTGAAAAACAAAAAACAAAACAAAAAGCCGCAAGTTTTTCTGGTTCAAAGTCTCTGCCGCCTTCAGGCAGCAGGAGTGGCTGCAACTGCGAACATCTTATTCCCCGCTGCGTCGTTGCTGAAGGGAAAAGCAACCCCACCTCCCAAAGGTGTTTGCTGGCGGATATGCGCAGGCCAAGATCAACTGTGTATGCACCTAAGGGCTTTGGAGAATTGCACCCAGGAAAAGCTCGCCAGTTACGCATAGGGAGGCGCCTAACGAGCTCGCAGGTTCTCTTCAGGCGCCAGGAAGCATCCTAGGAGGGCACCCGGTGCCAGGCTCTCTCACCCCGGGTAGCTCACCTGCTCAAGGCTTCTCAGGATCTCGCCGCCCAGAGCACTAGGAAGGGGGTAGGCTAGGGGACAACCGGGATGCTAGAGGACAGTGTCCCCTTGGCGCTGTCCGGTTAGTTGGAGTGTCTTCAGCCCAGCTAAACTGGCGGCGGCAACTGCAGACCTCACCCGGCGCCTCCAAGTTCCAAGAGCCACAGGACGGACGACTCCGAGGACTGGGGGTCGCAGGCTGGTCAGACCGTAGCCGCAGCAGCTGAAGGGCTCGTCGCGACTCCACGCCTAGGAGCCCTTCTTCCTCAAGTGCACGCCTTTCTCCCTGCTGGCGCCTAGGGCAGCCGTGGAAAGACGGGACCTCAGTGGTTTGGTGTGTGGCGCATTTGGAACTTCCTCCGCTTCTGCAGGAATGGGGAGAGACATCTGTCCACCTGCTGGTTGGTTGTTCGCCAAGTGATTCGCGAAATGCTGGGGCGGTGCGGGAGGGTGGGGGTGGGGAGCCCTGGAGGCGGCCCGCAGCCACAGGTGCAAGGTAGAACTTGGCGTTCCCGCCCTCTGGGGCACGAGATTGGATCAGGTCGCAGACGTGGCGCCAGCCCGGAGGGGTCTGATTGGAGAGAGCTGTGACGCGCACGTAGCTCCCTCCGGGTGAGGAAATTCAGGAGACCCAAACCCAGGACCCACGCCGCCCCGCTGTCTCGCACCCTCTACCCCGCCTTTTTCTCCCCTTGCGCCCACGGGGATCCCAAGTTTTCTGACTTGTGGGCGCCGATTCCGTAGGAGGCGAGAGAAGTTTCTGAGGCTCTGGGCAGGAAGGCTGTAACTTTAACCACCTCGCTGCGTGCCAGCCCAGCGCTGCTGCAAGCCCTTTCTGTGGATTAACTCGTCCATTCCACACAGCAATGTCAGGGAGCAGGTACTTTTTGGACTTCGCAGGCCGGGCAAGAAAGCCCTGGCGCAGCAGAGCCAGGATGAACTAGGAGGTCTCGCCTCAGCTCCCGCTCCCGCCACAGCATCCCACAGTCTGTTACTCCTGGGCTCTTATTGTAACTCAGTGTGAATGTTCATCTTTCAGGAGTTGAGGTCCCTGGATCGCCGCCTCTCTCCAGCCTGAGCCACGGCAGAGAGGGACCCAGCGGGGTGCTCTGCCTTTGAGTACTTTGCAAAGTGTCACCTCTGGCACTTGGGCTAAGGAAGACAGAGGTGCAGCTTGCTTCAGCTTCCGAAATACTTTGCCTTTTAGAAAATCGGCTGTTCGGGTGCTCTTTAACTTTATAGGTATAGCTCCCACTTTCCCTTACCCCGTCCTCCACCAAGGTCAGTGGATGGAGACCTAATGTCCCACTCCTTTTGCCCTCTGGGAAAGCCAAGACATAATCCCCAACGCCACTGCAGGCTAATGTGGGTAGGACATTTTTGCAGTCTTTTCGCCCTTGGAAGATAGCAACGTGAGCATGAGTACTTGATGCCAATGGCCTAGTTCGGGGTTCTTTGAATTTGTGTCAGGTATACAGCCCTGGAGCTGTGGCAGTGGGTTGGAACCCAGGTCACGTGCTGGGAGGGGAGGGTGTGACAGTGCATCCTAAAGCCAGGGCTCTAGCAGGTGGAGGAGCTGAAGCAGGTCGGAGTTGTCCCAGAGCCCGGTTGCAGGGTTTGTGGGTCTGAGAATGAAGACACAGAAGGAAAGTGAGCTGCCCAACTTGCTCTATACCTGGGCCAGCATTTTCCTAGAGGAGAGATCATTACTAACTGCTGAGATAGAAATGTGGTTCTCTCTCACCTTCTGCCATTTATACTCAACCAAAGGAGTGATACAATGAGACTGTGGCTGTGCACAGAGTGGATGGTGGAGGGGAAGGTGTGCAACTACAAGGAAACCGATTGCCAACTGTTGGGATAGTTAAGGCAGGGTGTCCTGATGATCAGGGGACATTGGTAATAATGGGAGACAGTAGGGAGAATTGCATGATGTAAGAGAAATGGAGGCTAGCACACCATGGCATAGTGGGCTAAGCCTCTGCCTGCAGAGACAGCATCTTCTATGGACGTCTATTCATGTCCCTGCTTGCGGCCTTAGAAAGCAGTGGAGGATGACTCAAGTCTTTGGGTCGCTGCATCCATGTGGGAGACCTAGAAGAAATTCTTGGATTTGGACCTTACCATTGCAGTCATTTAGAGAGTAAACCAGCAGATGGTTCACTCTCTTACTCTGCAACTCTGCCTTTCAAATAAAAATAAGTTTTCAAAAGAGATGTAGGAGGCAGAATCAGTAGGTACTGTTTAATTCACACAAAACAGGAGATGAAGTTAGACCAAAGCTTAGAAGGGAGACACTTTTCACAGCCTTCCTTGCCCTGGGAGTGACCATGTGATCCAGTTTGGGCCTAGGGAACTGTAAGACGTCAGGAAACACTTTTTCCCCAGATAAAAGGTGATGCCTGTGAAAGAGTGTCTTCTGCTCTATGCCCTCGTGCCACGCATGTTAGCTTGGTGTGGCGTCTGCTGTCACCTTGTGTTGCTGGAGGGTTGCCTAAGAGGCATAGAACTAAAAATCAACAAGCTGAAGATGGCATGGGTGTGTGCGAAATGGGTCCTTGATACCACCAAGTCTCTGAAAGCACTTGCAATCACTTGCCTACTCCAGGCTTGGAGTTTTGCGAGATAAAACATGTGCTTAGGATAGCACTGTGAAACACGATTTTCTCTTATTCGCGCCTAAACGCAGTCTTACTTCGTACAGACTTTTGTAAAGGATAATGTTTAGCGGAAAGAAGGTAGCACTGCTACGGTTTTTGGACCAAAATGGAAAGCTCATTAAAGAAGGAAGATTAGTGCAATGTTTAAATGATGAAAAAATATTTAAACACATAAAATCCTGGTGTAAATAAGGCACTTTCACGGAAAAGACTTCTTGTTCCACAATGAGTGAAAAGGTATGTATGTTGTGTATAAATGAACAAACTGATGGGGGGACAGAAAGATTGTCAGATTATTTAAGATAATAATTTGATTTTTAAAGATAGAATTTTAAAAAACAATTAAGCCTTATTTTTCTCCATTTTTGCATCAGCTTTGTATAACCTATGAAACTTGTATAATCGTCTCATGCCATGATACACACGTACAGGTTTAGCACTACCAAGAACCTTCTGTATTGTAGCTGCTGCTCCAGGAATTCTGTGTGGTTCTACAGGGAGGAGACAACCTGATCCTGCAGTTCTGGGTTGCTAACTTGGATGTCTTATACTGTAAATGTATTTAAAATAAATTCTGTCCAGTAAATAGGTGATTCTTAATGTAATATTAGACTGAACATTTTTTCTCTTTTTTCAAAGAGAAAGAGAGCTATATTCCATCTGCTGGTTCACTCCCCAGATATCCACAACAGTTAGGACGGAACCAGTACAAAGGCCCCAGAATTCAATCTGGGGCTCCCAAGTGCACGGCAGGGACACAAGTACTCGAGCCCTCACTTGC